GTGGGGGACGAAATAAGGCTAAAAAAATGACTTCCCAAGTCGTCCACCGTGTCCCAGTAGGCGCGACCGCGGTAAATCGCTGGGACACTGCCTCACCACCGCGGTCGCGGTAAAAACGCGGCAGGAATGCGGTGGTTACACACCATTCTACAAAACGTGCATAACTTTTTGCACAGAGCTCCGTTTGGGCTGCACAATATATCGTTGGAAAGCTATCTCAATGGCCTACAACTTTCATGCTTTGAATTTTTCCAAATTCCTTATACATTTTCACTAAACCCTGCTGGAAGATAGACTTTCTGCAAACTTAGTCGATTTTGTCAAATCTTATGCACCTCACTTCCCATCTTGGTTTTGAAACAACTATTTTCACTCATAATCATCCCGATAGGACTTCATATGTCCAAAATATAACCTTACTAGTCCTTTAACTCATTCATACCTAATCTGAATGTGCGGGGTGTTACATGTAGTCCTGAAGTTAAATTCAAAGTTAAGGACATGTAGTCCTGAAGTGCAGAAGTTAAGTTCAAAAGTTAAGGATATGTAGTTCTAAAGTTCTAAACTTAGAGTTCCAAGTTCAAAAGTTAAGGACATGTAGTCCTAAAGTCCTGAACTTAGAGTTATAAGTTCAAAAGTTAAGGATATGTAGTTCTGAAGTTCTAAACTTAGAGTTCCAAGTTCAAAAGTTAAGGACATGTAGTCCTAAAGTCCTGAACTTAGAGTTACAAGTTCAAAAGTTAAGGACATGTAGTCCTCAAGTCCTGAAGTTAAGTTCAAAAGTTAAGGACATGAGCAGAAGGGTATTTTCATCTGGGCAATTAAAGTTTATTAAAGCAGTGGCTAAAGACTGAAGACATTTTAAACAGTGGCTTAAAAGTAAATACATGTGTTATTAGTATCTAACCGTGCACTTCCCCCGATGATATGCCATTCCATTTCCTATTTTCCTATTGTTTGTACTAGTAGTTTAACTCCTAGCTTGTTCTTTTAAAATGTGTCAAACATTGCTCGCCCAAAAACTAAATTATTCCATGTTTGCTTAGACACAACGACAATGAATTAAACACAGTTTGAGACAAACAAGCGATAAGATTACATTACACTACCTCTTTCTAAAATTTTACTGAAAAATTGGTTAAAAAATTCGCAAGCTTTAAATAATGTTTATTATTAAAAAAATATGCATCTACAAGTGGTTAATTAGGCGAGATGTTTGAGCTTTGCGAATTTCGTTTCTTTAATTTTATAATAAGTTATCCAGATCATGCATCTTCTTTTACTAGTTGAATCCGTAAGAATGCTAATTGCTATCGCATTTTTGGATAATTTTGAAAATAAATTAGATGAAAAAAATCACTTTAAGGTGTATTCTTTAATAGAGTGAGTGAAAATAATATTTTAGCTACTTTTTATAGAACTATAAAACAATTTCGGTGTAATTCCTTTTTTTTCTAGTGTATTGTCCCTTTTCTCAAAATGCCAATAACAGAGACTAGATTAAATGTACTTCTTTAAATATTTTCTTGACCAATTTTGGTCCTTTACTTTTATCGAAAGTAAGATATATTTTTTTTTTGGTCAAATATTTAAACAAACTCTGCATTTTATATTTAAAATTATTCAAGAAACACTGGAAAATTCCATTAAATTTCAAAATTTACACAAAAAGGCTTGATTATCACTAAGAATAACTAAAACAAGTACAACAGCAACAAAACCAGTAATTTTCCACAAGTGGGGTCTGGGAAGGGCAAGATGTACGCAACCTTATTCTATCCTGGAAGGGCAGAGAGGCTGTTTCTGATAGACCATCGGCTGAAGAATGGATGAAAAAGGTAATGGCAACAAGTAGGAATAACAATAAGATAAAAAAAAGACCAAAGCCAAGAAAGTAGTTAAACTAGGTAGTAATAGCAATCTATAAATAAAAGGATATCATACTAATACTAATGCTAGCGAACTAAGTAAGACAAAGAGAAACACTCGACTACATACTACCCTTCTACCATAATTTTTGATCTCCACACCCTAATATCTAGGGCCATATCTTCAGTCAGCTCCAACAGCGCCATGTCCCGCCTAATCACCTCTCCCCAAGACTTCTTAGGCCTACCTCTACCCCTCCTAATACCCACTAAGTTTAACCTCTTGCTTCTAACCGGGGCTTCTATGCTTCTTCTTTTAACATGCCCGAACTATCTCAACCTCGCCTCCCACTTCTTATCCTCCACAAAGGCTACTCCCACCTTATCCCGAATAACTTCTTTCCTAATCTTATCTAATCCGGTATGCCCACACATCCACCTTACACATCCTCATCTCAGTTACTTTTATCTTCTGGACATGAGAGTTCTTGACAGGCCAACACTCAACTCCATACAGCATAGTTGGTCTAACTACTACCTTGTAGAACTTACCTTTAAGTCTCAGCGACACATTCTTATCACAAAAGACACCGGAAGTGAGCCCCCACTTTATCCATCCTGCTCTGATACGGTGCGTGACATTCTCATCAATCTCCCCGTTACCTTGTATTATAGAACCAAGGTACTTGAAACTTTCTCTTATGGGGATGACATGTGTATCAAGCCTCACACATGTCTAATTCCTGGGTAACTTCGCTAAACTTGTACTCCAAGTACTCCATCTTGGTCCTGCTCAACTTGAAACCTTTTGGCTCAAGAGGCTGCCTCCAAACCCCTAGTTTGTCGTCAACACCATCTCGAGTTTCGTTAATCAGAACTATATTATCCGCAAATAACATACACCACATCACCTTTCCTTGAATGTGTCGTGTCAATGCGTCCATCGCCAAGGAAAACAAAAACGGGCTAAGGGTTGATCCCTGATGCAACGCCATCACAACCGAAAAGTGTTCTGAGTCTCATCGCGGCTGTCCTCACCCCTGTCGTAGCTCCATCATACATATCCTTAATGAATATAATATAGGGTACATGCACACCTTTATCTTCTAAACACCTCTACAAAACCTCTCTCGGGACTTTGCTGTATGTTTTCTCTGATTCAATAAGCACCATATGCAAGCCCTTCTTCATTGTCCTATACTGCTCTACCAATCTCCTCACCATATGAATGACTTCCATATTCGAACGTCCCAGCATGAAATCGAACTGGTTCTCGAAAAAGACACATTCTTCCTCACCCTCCCTTCCACCACCCTCTCCCAAACTTTCATCGTGCGACTTAGTGGCTTGATACCCCTATAGTTATTGCTATTTTGAATATCACCTTTGTTCTTGTATCACTGAATTATCATACTCCACCTCCATTATTCAGACATCCTATTCGTCCTAAAAATGACGTTGAACAACCTAGAGGATCATTCCAGGCCTACCTTACCAACTCTCTTCCAGAATTCTAGCGGGATCTCATCTGGCCCGATCACTCTACCCCTGCTCATCCTACACATAGCCCCCTCGACCTCTCTCACACCTATGCGCCTACAGTATCCAAAGTCCTGATGACTCCCCACGTACTCCAGATCACCCTACACAATATCCATATCCCCCCATTATTCAAGAGTTTATGGAAGTATGACTGCAACCTCCGCCTAATCTGAGCCTCATCCATCAACACTCTATCCTACTCGTCTTTTATGCACTTCACTCGATCCAGATCATGGGCCTTCCTTTCTCTCACTTTGGCCAGCTTGTATAGCTTACAGTGATCGCTAACTTTGCCTCGTTCTTAGCCTTCTTATACCACTCCAGTTGGCCCTCTTCTCCACCTCATCTAATGCTCTTTGCTAGATTTTTATATGTCTCTTTCTTGGCGTCCACTTTACTTAGGACCTCTTCATTCTACCATCAGTCCCCGTTGCAGCTACCAGAGAAACCCTTCGAAACCAGAGAAACCCTTCGAAACTCCTAGCAGCTCTCGCACAACTTTTCTAATACAATTCGCTGTCATAGTCCACACACAACTCGAGTCCCTACTATTCCTACAGGCCCATAGCCAGTAACTTCTCCCCAAAACTAGTAGAAACTACAATATCAAAACTTTATCTTCTAATATGAGTTCATACTAATTTTTTTTTGGTACAATTTTGTTAAATCCAATAATTAAAGTTCATCAAAATGTAAGACTAAAAAACTTATCATAAATTTAAGTATCAAGAAACCATATTAAACATATCCCCAAAGGTTTTGAACATCCTTCACCACTGAGCTGTGCTTCTAGGCCATGTCAAGGGGATTCATAACATAATATATAGAGGTAAAGAACATATTTTACCTTATATATACCGTGTAATTTTTCGGTCCGCCCCTAAATCCGCCCCTATGTCAATTGGATAGATGGAGGCTAAATAAGATGGTGGGTATTTTTATAAATAAATAATTTTTTAATATACCATGTAGATAAAAAATAATAACCTGTCTTCAAACAATATTTTGTCATTTTCTCTCGAGCTGGTTATACTTTCCCTTTTTCGTTTCATCAGAGCAACAGAGAGAGAGTGTGAAAATGGCGTCGTCGGCGAGACAATGGATAGAAGGAGACGAAACGGCGAAGCAGTTCCTAACAAGGGTTCTCTCGGAGCGGCCATTCTTACCACTACCTCCACCTCTTCATCGCATCCCTCTCCGCGCCGGCAACGTCGTCGAGATCGTCGGCCCTTCTCCTTCTTCCAAAACTCGCATCCTTATTCAGGCAAGTCACAGAATATAAACCCTAATTTTCCTTTTCATCTACGACATTTTACATACATAGTCCAGAATTTAAAGTAAGTAGTTCCGAGTGTGTACGATTTGTTATATAAGTTTATATTCTACTTCTTTGGCTCCTACATTTTATTGTCTACTCATAACAATCAATTAACTAGGTTTCAATACAAAACTAGTTGCGTCCTACTTGTTAAGTTTTTCTGACTGTTCTGGTATATTTCATTCCGCATTTGGACAGTATTTCAGATGAAACTAAAAAAGAAATGAATTTTTGAAGTTAAATTGAGAAAACGTTTATGGAAGTCTTCCCATCTGCTAAGCTTTGGTGGGCAAAATTAATTGTGCTGGTGGGAGTTAGCAACCTGTGCTTAGGGGCGGATGGAGCTTTGAAATAACTGGGTTCCTATGAACCCAATACTTCTATGAGTAACAATTCTTCAAAATTGCAATGAATAGTAGATATGAACCTATAATCTTTGAAATATAATGAGTTCAATGCTAAGAACCTTAAAGAGTGAACCCATAAAGCTTAATCTTGGATCCGTAGTAACTGGTAGAATAGTTTAGGTACACGAAAGCTGGACTAGACACCTACCTTATCACAAAAAGAAAAGTTTATGGGAATTGTTGGACATAAACTTAAATTGAAAAATAAAAGGTTTGTGAAGTTGAATATTTGTTAGTAGAAGTTGAAGATTCGAAAAGCTTCACTTGAAATGCACATTCTTACCGACCTTTCACTGGTTCACTTGAAGTTCCCCAAATGACACGACCAAACGAGTATTTGCTAATATTGGAATAATTCTTCATGGCCAGGGAAACAACTTATCTTGCAAATAAGGAGGTCTCTAAAACTCTCACACATGCCTACACGACGTCTTACACGTCCTTAACTTGCTTAAAAGGATTTCTAACAAATATCAAACCTAATGTAAGTGTGAAAAATAAAAGCATTAATACCATAGTCTTTGGATTATATGATTTTTCAATTTATAAGCTTAATGTTATTTTTTCGGTTCAATGCTAGGCTGCTATTAATTGTATTTTGCCTAAGGCATGGAAGGGCATCAATTATGGAGGCTTGGAGCGATTAGTAATGTTTGTTGACCTGGATTGTCGTTTTGATGTGTTAGGCCTTTCACAATCACTGAAGCAGCGGATCATTAAAGCAAATGGTAGATGTTTATTCTTGAGTTTATATTTTGTATTTTGGAATTTCCTCGTTGTTTAGACTTGGGGGGCTTTAATTTTATAGTTTAGTCAACTGCTGGAGATGTATGGTTACTTTTTTTGCTTATAGTTTCAAAACTTTTTTTTGTGTGTGTTTCTTTTGCGATTAATTGAAGTAGTTATTGATAGTATAGCAAGTTGGTATTGTCTTTACAGAATTATATAGTAAAACACACACATTAAGCCTCCCAAAATGTAGCCAATCATCTATACTTACAAAGTAAACCAACGCCTCAACTCTTGTAACAATGAACCTTCTTTATAAATTAAAAAACGAACTCCTGGCCACTTCAAAAGTTTTTATTAACACCCAGATACTGCTTCTTAGCAATTCAGTTGAATCAAACGAAAAGATTACATCGCCTTGAAGATTCAGAACATCTCTCATAATCCATCTTTGAAAGAATTGTAACCCTTGTACTACTTATTCTTCTAGTTCACTAATGACATGACCCTTGGTAGGAGGGTGTGGAGGACGAGAATTAGGGTAGTAGGTTAGTAAGTAGTCGAGCGTATTTCTTTTCAAGCACGTACTTCTTTTTCCATATATGTAGTACTAGTGTTATCCTCGTATTCCCTATTCTTAGGTCTCTTTTATTACCTTATGTTTCTTTTGCTTCGGTTATATTATTTTTTTTGGCTGTTGTTACTGCTTATCTTTTCGTAGTTCTTTGTCATAACTGCTGTGAATTTGCTTTCATTGAGCCGAAGGTCTACCAGAAACAACCTCTCTACCTTCACAAGGTAGAGGTAAGATATGTATACATGCTACTCTCCCTAGATCTCACTTGTGGGAATACACTGGGAATGTTGTTGTACTTAAACTGTAATATGCTTCTGTGTTGATTCTATCAACCGAATACTTGTTTTGGATTGGTGAGCCAATTGAGTGTTTATCAAAGTCGGTAACCATTCTGTTAGGTTGAGAGTTGACTTATGTTTGTCATGTCTGGATGAGTTAAAATGAGTTTTTAGAATGGGTGCGTGTTATGATCTTTTGGTGTTGCAATATTGGTGATTTGCTTTGTTACCTTTAGTAATCTACCGTGATATTGCATTTTTACACATAGGCATTTTGACAAATGGGGGAAATAACCCAAGTGTGTGACCTAGTGTGAATAAAGTGGGACGAGAACCATGTAGTCTCATGTTAAAATGCCAGCAAAGGCAAAAAGTACTAGGTGATTTATTCCCAACTGTCTAAGCTTTGGTGGGTAGAGTTATCTGGTACTTGTGTTGGTGTCGGATTTAGCAGGTACCCAGTGGAATAGTCGAGGTGCAGGTGCAAGTTGGACCGGACACCACCGACATAAAAAACAATAAAAAATAGGGGAGATAAATCAAGGTTGTATCTAAGCCCTCTAACACGAGTGACGAGAGGACTGAACTCATTGGTGCTGTGAGTTAATTCATTGTAATTGGATATTGGGTTTAAGAATTAGGTAATTTTTTGAACTATTGAAGAAGCATAACCCAATTCGGAAAATGCAGTATAGTTTCATGAACTAAGCTGCCACTCTTCTGTTTGCTTTTGGAGCATCTTCTAATTGTTTGCAGATTCCATTTCTTGAGTAACTTGTGTTGATTATAATTTCAAATGTTCGAGGTGTAGGGCTAGCTATTTAACTCTAAGTTCTACAGGTTAGTATTTCTTGAAAAAAAGAAAGTTAAAACATTCAGTAACTGCACAGAAAATTCGTAAGCAAGATAAAGTATATGTAGCACAGAATTAGTAGTGGCGCTTTGGTGAAATCCAATAAAAAAACAGAATTTTGAGTGGAGTTTTATAATGATGAGTTGTTAGTGTATGTGCAAGAAAGAAGGGAAGGACACTAAACATTTGCTCCTCATCTTTTGTCATGTTGTGGTCCTTGTGGAGCTATGTATTGTGGTGTATTCCATGTTTAGTATATCACAGTTACTCGGTACTCCCTTAAGAGTTGCTGATGCCCTTGAGACACGGAGGCTGAGCAGAATAAGGAAGGAAAGCAAGGAAGTCTGGAATTTGCACTGTTATGCATCTATTGGGTGATATTTAGAGAATGAAACTGGAGGATGTTTGAAGGAATTGACAGATCCATATGGAAGATCGACAGCTCTGTTTGCTGATTATACTTTTGGTGTAAATAAAAGATCCTTTTATGTGTAGATAGTTGATAGAAATTTTTAGTTTGACACTGATCACTTGTATCAATATAATTTGCATCTCCTTGGTGCACATTGGTGACATTTCATTAGACTTGTCAACGGGAAAAATAATAAAAATAAAGCATTTAGGTATCACTTAAAAATTCAAGAGTTGAGCGCTACCATTTGCTCCCTTGATAGTAGGGGTTGGCGTTTAACCAATAACCAGTATCCGTCTAAAGATTTTTCATAAGAGAAACTAGAAAGTAGGAATAGTAGTCCACGGGTGAGAAGCTTAGAAGTTCCAAATTCTGATAGGGTCTTCAGTGGAAAACTGCATGGGGCAATTCAACTGACTACCTCGAGGCTTAGTGGGGAAAGGTGCAAATGAGGCAGAATAGGGACTTACCGGAAAATTTTATTTTGTGTCTCATACAACTGACACTAGTTATACGAGGCATCTTTTTGTCTCACAGTTTTGTGGACCCAGATTTTTGTGGACTCAGAAGTGTAAGATTGGGGTCCACAAATTTGTGAGACAAAAAGGAGCCTCACACAACTAATGTAAGTTGTGCGGGACACACAATAAAACTTCTCGGACTTACCTCCTGCAGAAAATGCTTCCTGACAGTGCGGGTAGAGGGAGAGTGTTTTTACCATGTGCAACCTTCTCTAAACACTTCTGTGAAGAGGCTACTTTACCCCTCGATTCTATGTCCTGCAGGTCTCCAAAGGAGAAACTTTGCAGATGCTCCAAGGCTCGCTTCGCACGAAATGAAGAATACACACACAGAAATATTGATAAAAGGGTAGAAAAACTAGTAATTGTTTTTAGAATGAAAAAGAAAGTACTAGTTTTTGATTTGTTATTTCATTACTAGAAAGCTAGTAATAAAATATGTTGAAGGTCTCATACATTTGATGCAAGTAGTCTTTGATTTAATTTGTCTAATCAGGCCATGACGTAGTCCACAAGCTAAATAAAGTGGATGATTCTCTTGATGTGCACTCAGAATATGACCAAGAATTGTTCGCAGTCAGCATGAGAAGGTTCTTGTACATACGCTGTTATGATAGTTCTGAATTTCTTGCCACTCTTAAGGTGAGTTAGAATGAGTTCTAAGGTTTTAATTTCTGCTTTTTATTTTGTTACCTATTTCTCAAATAAAAAAAAATCTGCGTTATCTATTTTTGCTTCTAACTTTTCTTACCTTTCTTTATCTCTTTTTTAATAAGTCATCTTTCCTATCAATTTACCTGGAAGTTCTCTTAATATAGCTTTTTTTCCTTAGACCTTGCTAGTGCTTTGTTAAATTATTTTACGGCCAGCATTGTGGACAATTTACAATCTTCTTGAAGTTAGGGATGTAAATAAAGTGAGGCTCTATGATTGAAAGATATTGATATGGTTCTACGTTGACATTCTCTTGTTAAAATATACTGGTATACAATTTGGAAATTTGTGCCCCATTCCACTTATTGTCCAATTCTGAACTGTTTTTGTCTAAGAATGATAAATGTCCTTGTCTTAGATTTTACTGATAAAAGATGTCCTTATTCTAGACGAAGCTCACTTGATAAGGCCGGTCATGTCCTACACCGATCTCCAGGTGCTACGGTCCATAGGTGTGAAACCATGCTGAGTGAATGAAGTTGAGCTAAAACCATATGTGGAAGGAAGCTGTCTCAATAGACCTACAAGCTCTTGGAATCTATGCATACCTAGCGAACAATAGGACGCAAAGGAAAAAATTCTCTATAGGTGATACTATTGGATAAGATTATATTTTTATCATGTTAATAAGTTTACTTAGGTCCAATATCTGCGAGGAGGTCTCGTTAGAAATTTATATGCTAGTAGAAAATATAGAGAATTTCTAGTGATTGAGAAACTAAGTTTTTATGCTTTTGGGTTGTGACGGGTTTAGATAGTGCAATATGGATAATGATGAGTCATATAGTCGATCTTAACTTGCTTTGGGATTGGGGTGTAATTGTTGTTGTTGGTCGCACAATGCGACATTGTATCAGAGCATTCGTCCTTGTTGTTTTTCTCAATGTTAAGACTTGTTCTTACGTTATTCACATTTCAGATTTCCAATCTTTGTCTTGCAAAGAGGTGTTAGAGTGTCCAGATTGGTTAAGAATATGAAATGTAGTCTTTTTACGTGGTTTTGACAATCCTCACATCATAAGCTAATTTTGGAGCTGCGTTAGGTTCAAGGTCCTTTCTTTAAAACTCTTTAGGAGAGTTAGACAAAGGTCAACAGAGGTCTTGATTTCAAGTCTCACCGCCATCTACTATAAAAAAAGAATGTCGACGTGCTTGACTCATGAAAAAAAGAATCAGGCCCACATATGAGGAGGCATGTTGAAAATATAATTAAAGTAGATAAAAGTGTGTTCTCTTTAACATCTTCAACGTTTAGACGAGCTGATCACATGATTCAACACTTTCCTCTGTGAATATATGCTGTTAATTTATTCTATCATTCTGTAGATTTCTACAAAGCTTTCGTTTTGATTGGCTAAGTAAGTGAGATACTTTCTTTATCTTTGAATATAAAAAATATAATTCATACAAACATGTCGCTTACTCTTTCAATCTCGTTTCATTGCAGACGATGCATTTCCAACTTCAAAAGGAAAAAGAGGCACATGGTACTGGTGTTTATTTGCTTATGATTGACAGGTTTCTTCTTATGATCTCTTCTCTGTGATGTTAGCTCTGGTGTTTTAGTTTCATACAAATAATAAAGAGAAACACGTGACGTTTTAATGGTTGATTACTATAAACAAGATTATCATTTGCGGTAAGGGTCTTACATTGACCTCTGTAGCAAGTGGATTCCACCGACATGAAAAGCATTTGTATGAACATGTTGAGAAATTGATGAAGATGTGTTAAATCCCCGTGATAAGATGAAGAATACAGAACAGTTATAGCAAAGAAGGAAAGGTATCTAAACAATGATAACATCCAGAATTTGGCTTAAAAGGGTCAAGTTTATCCTTGTTTATGCATGAAACATTTGCAGATCAACTTAAAATATAAATTATTCTTAGGATAAGTTTATGGATACATAAATCAAACATCTCCTCGTAGTACATAATTCTCAACCTTTGAATACCAGTCATAAATCCTGACTTATCTTTGTTTTTAGGCATTTTGCCAATTTCTTCATGTGGCCATGTTAAAACAACCAATCCTATGGTATGCTGATAGAAACCTCTAGTAAGATAGTCTTCTCTAAAATGACATTTTGTTCATGTTTTATCAGGGGAACATCCAAGGACATTACCAATTTATCAAAAGGTGCCCTGTTATTGGAAAGTTGTAAATTTTTATAGTTCCTTGTCCGTTTCATTGGCAGTGCACCAGGGAGCGCGGGAGTGGGAAATATATTCTTTTCCTGTTTTCACTTGGGCTAGATTTTTTCTTGACTAGATTTGACATGTATGTTGCAAAGGACTGTACTAGCAACGAATGATCCATTTAGCTGTTCTCTGTTAATGCACCAGATCTGTGTTCAGACATTAGTACACTGTAAATTATCAATTTGGTGGTTATTGGTTAGATCATCAGATCTGTGTTCAGACATTCTCTGTGGTCCTTCTCCTTTTGTCTTCTTTAGGTCTTTTCCTTTTTTAGTACTCCTTAGTGGTTTAACAGAATTCTGTACCTTACTAAGATATGTTGCTTCTCTTGTATGACCAGTATTGGAGCTTTTTATTGGATGGATCGTGCTTCACCATCTATACCACCAGGGAGCATTAACAGGTTAGAGTCCACTATGATATCTTACATTTAAAAGAGGAAAAACTAATGAAAGAAGCAATCTGAAATGAACCCCGGAAAGAATGAGTAATGGAGAAGCCTGAAAGTTTATGTCTCCAAGTACCTCTCCTTAAGCACCTTGCTATGTAGCATTTTCGTGGTGTTATTTAGGGCTGCGGTTTCTGTTACCTATTTGTTTGTTAGAAAGTGACCATCAGCAGTCAAAACATAGAGGATAAGAAGTGCAAATGTGCAATTGTCTTGCTGACAATATTTGTATTCCGCGTCTGTTTGTGTTTATTAGCCTGTTTTACTATTTCATACTCTTGGATTCATCTAAAAAATGAACCTATTCTTGGTCATGCCAAAATGCTGGTTGTGTTATACTAAATTCACATGCACGATAAATAGTTCTTGCAAAACCTGCCTCAGCTCTTGGAGAGTGCTTAAAAGATTTAAAAGATAGTCTTTTCAGTTTGAGAATGGTGCTTCTTAAGAGCTCTTTTACTGCATGCGTTTTAGATGTATAACTCCATTCCTATTGTGAAGGTTACAGTTAAGTGTCTGTTCTTTTGTTTTTTTATAACTCTATCATGTTGAATAAATCCCAGTTCAATTGTCATTTCTTTTTCTTCTTTTCTCATGGAATTGGGGAGCCTCGCATGTTGTTAAATCAAGTGCATACTTCTAGCACTATATTAATGAATTACGAGTTCCTTCTGCTTGTTTTCATCTGTTCATGTTTCCCACCCAGCATTCTCTACGTTAACACTTAAGTTTGGTTCTTAGGAGAGAAAAGGAATGCAAGGAGACAGGAACGAGGAATGTATCTCTTTCATATATTTTCCTATCTTATAAAATAATGTGAAGTAAGGACAGAGAAACTCATAGTTGTACTTCTCACGTATGCATTATATGCAGTGTGATCCTTTTCTTCCTGAATAAGTTGCACCTTTCTTTTTCTCTTCTTATTCTTAAATTATAATTTATGAATTTCTTATCAATAGATAATTGTCTTATTACCAGGAAAAGTCTGTCCCTGCAAAGCGTGTCAGAGAGTGTTGTTCAAGAGATCCAGAGGATTCTTTTGGTGCATCCGATGCTTGTTCTAACTACGAAAGCAACAAGTTTACAGGATAAATATACAACACGTGAAGTTAGGTTGGTTTCATTACATTTCTTTTGGCCAAAGCAAATCTTGTATTGCATTTTAATAGAATCTGGGTATAAAAGAACTGATAATATGATAATTTATCCTGCCTAGGATAGGTGGAAAAAAACAGAAGCCCTATATGTACTGTCTGTCTGCCAATGTGCAATGGTTTTAATTTCATGTTCTGGGCTCATTGGTTTGGAGAGTTTGTGTTCTGATTTTTCAACTAAATAAGTAACATCATATGTATTGAGACTTCAGATGGTTGATCATCAATAGTGGCTTCTGACCTTGAAAGTACCAGTTTAGGACCAGTTTCTGTACCATATTTTGAATTTGATCAAGTGAACTGTAATTTGATTGATAATGGAAAGAGTCCTGCATACCATGTTTATTGAACTGTTCAGTTGCTCCAGATCTAATTGAAAGCTGATGGTTATTGTTGTCATAAGTTCATCTCTTGATGATTTAAAACTGCTGAATTGTACAAATATTTTTCTTTCTCACAATTATCATTCTCTATTTTGCAACTACTCAAACAGGAATATAGGACAGTTGTCTGTTGAGGGTACCTTGGACTCGAAGACCATCAGAAGTAGTGCTAGTGTTCAACTGTATCGGGAGTATATGCCTTCTGTGTGGCAGGTATTTGTAATGTGTCCTAAGTATCTAAGATGTGTGTGTTTGTGTGAATTAGATGATTGAAAGTGTGAAGACATCATGATTAAATATTTGGACTTTAAGCAGCTTATTAGCCTTAATAATCTTTTGTGGTTGTTGCAGTCCTTTGTTTCTCACAGAATACTTGTGCGTCCTTCAGGTATGGCTCAAAGTCATTTAGGCCAGTCATATTCTCTTGCTCTTTCCATAAAATTAAAAATTGTCTTTCTCATTATTCTTCAGATGATAGTAGCAAATATCAAAAGCAGCCCATCTATTTGTCGGAATGGCTGTTGCCATCCCTGAAGATATCAGACAAATTCACATTCAATGATGTATGTGCTATCTAAGATTTGAGTGTTTACAATGATGTGCTTTCTGTAATCAAGAATTCTCTCTCCAGCTTCACTAATGTGGTTACCTCAAAAATGTAGGATGGTGCATACATCATATCATGAAGACATGTTTTTGGACTGGCTTTTGACATACTGATTAGGTCAGGCAATTAATTGAAGCCCAAGATGAATTTCCTAATGTCACCAGTTCATCTGCCAGTGGTATCAACTGTAAGTTAAATTTGGTTCATTTATATCTGCACTTGACCCCCCCACACCCCCCACCCACAAATACTTTGTTTAGTTGTAGACATACTTGATCCCTGTTGCTCATCGTGGCATACTTTAATTGTTGCTACTGTACCCTGGAAAAGAGTTACTATGGAGTAACATAAACCAGAAGGTTACATTGCTGAAGAAATGCTGAAAGAGAATGTTTAATTAGTCTAAAGAACCACTTGATTTTAATTAGATTATAGTTGTAGAAATTTGACCACTAATTTTAGTTCATCAGCTCTTTCATAGCTGAATAAATTTGTATGTACAGCTTCTTCCTCGGACCATCATTGGTTGTTTGCTTGGGCAAAAGTTGATTAATAACCATGGATGACCCTAAGTTAGCTAAAGGTTGAAGAGTTTTTCTGCCTATGAAGATTTTGGATAGATAAAATTCCTGGCAGAAGAAATTGCGAGTGTCCTCAATATGGTAGGCATCTCATTATTAGATTTTGACATGTTCATTATTGTGTATCGTGTCGAGTGATGTAAAAGGTGATTTATAGGACTCAAGGTTTTGCAGGTTCTGGCGACTGAGAGACGATGATGTCCATCTTCTTTAACATCAAGCCAATATGAATGACAACCAAAGCAAGAAAGAAAAGGAGAAGAGCAGATGTCAAAAGTTTTCCAGTATTTGTGGATTTTTCACATATACTCTGAGATTAACACAAATGAGGTGAACAGTGAAGCAGATAAAACTTCTAAGTACAAGCAGGCAAGCAGCACAATTGGTAATTTCAGTAGCAGATGAGCTGAAATTGGCGATAAAAGTTGGCTGCATTTTTTTTTCTTCAGTTGGCGATCGTTTGTGTTGCTGCTGTGATAATTGCTGGGATGATAGCTAGGAATAAGAAGTAAACCTCGTTTGGAGTTCGTAGAATATATATTGTGTTTAGATAAATTAATGACATGACTTTTGCACAAGAGCTGTTGGAAACCTTGTTCTGGAGTTCTATTTTCTTTCGTTTGGGAGGTCTTAGAATGTATGTTATGTTCGAAAATAATTTGAATGACTTCCAGAAGAGCTGTTGAGCATGGAAATGGCATTTGGAAGTAAAGAGGTCTGTATTTAAGCATCTTTTATTAGTTCCCAGAACATTTTACAAGTTCATCATTAATTTTAGGAAATTTACAATAGCAACAGTAGGGGTGTTCATAAAAACCCGAAAAACCGAACCAAATCGAAAACCAAACCAAACCGATCAGAAAAATCGATACTTTTTGGTTTGGTTTGGTTTTGGTTTTGAATTTTAAAACCGATCAAATTTGGTTTGGTTTGGTTTAATCAGAAAAAAAACCGAACCAAACCGACTATAGGAGTAGCTATTTCAAATTTATTATTACACCTATATATATGTATATTGTTATACAAAGTTTCAAAAAATTTATGGTAAATGTTAATAGTTTGCACTTTTAATATAGTTCTTTACCTTTACATTATAGTTTGATTGGTTGTTTTCTTTTGTTTAGTGTAAGAATCCATTTCGTGTTAAAAATAACATATTTTTAATTGAGTCCTTAAATTATTCATCACTATTTGATTCAATTATCATCAATATATCTTGGTAAATAATAGATTTCTGAAAGGGCAATTGATTTGATAGTGTTACATTGAAAATGTGGTCGCCGGAATATGTGTTTGGTAGTGTATGTCTTATATTTAAGAAAAAACCGACAAATAACCGAAAAAATCGAAAAACCGATATAAACCGAATCGAGAAAAACCAACTTAATTGGTTTGGTTTGGTTCTAATATTTGAAAAACTGACTTACTTGATTTGGTTTCTTTTTAGGGAAAAACCGATCCAAATCGAACCATGAACACCCTAAGCAACAGCATGCCCCTAGTTTAACCTTTTGCATATCCATCGTTATTTCTCAACTAAATAAAGAGTCTAACCTTGAATTATCATGTCCTGTGTAAAAGAACATTGTTCTCCTTATAATGCCCTTGTGACCATAAAATGGTCTTAAAAGTGAGTGGGAGCAAGTCTCAAGGTGATAGCACAGATAATACTCCCTCTGTTTCAATTTAAATGACATATTTTGTTTATCGAGAGCCAAATTAACTCTCAGTAAGCGAAATGTGTCATCTAAATAGAAACATAGAGAGCAATTGATTTGTATTTTTGTTCAAAGAAATAAAAAGCAAGAAAGCAACATTTTTCACCATACGGAGGAAAGTTGCTTCTCACCTAACTCTTTCAAACTCATACTAATAACAACACCAACAAATGCTAGCTACCACATCTTTCTTCTTCCTAATTATCTTACTTATGGACAGAAAAACCATTATTTTCCTCTACTTGCTAAACATTTTTCACTCTTCGACCTCCACCGGCTGCCATGATGATCGTCTCTCATAACGGCATCCAGGTGAATGGCTGCTTGAAAGTATTGGCATATCTGCCATGCGCATGCAACTCCGCCGGCCAAAATCCGTCCTGTCAAAAATTATCACCTTTTTATTACATAGGAGTCTAATATGTTAAAATAAGTCATGGACCTAACTCACACCCCAAAAGCTAGCTCAAAGGGAGGAGTGTCCAATCTTTATAAGGAGACTAGAGATCTCATAAGGCTTGGGCAATCCTCCTTCCTTTGAGCTAGTTTTTGGGGTGTGTGTTAGGCCTAAGACTTATTTTAATATGGTATCAGCGCCAGGCCCGTGGTCGACGTGGGCTCCCGGAGAAGGGGGTGGAATCTCGCGGGACCAATTAAAAGGAGGGTGGAAGTACCCCCGGTCTATGGAAGTACCCCCGGTCTATAATTGTGCACGCTCCAGACCAAATAGTGAAACCCCGGATAAAGAATGTCCGGATCTGGGCGTTGGGAGGGGGGGGGGGGGGTGATGAATCGAATGAATCCCACATCGGACCGAAATGAGATACTGGTTTCCTTATAGGCTTGGACAGTCCTCCTCCCTTCGAGCTAGCTTTTAGGATGTGAGTTACGCTCAAAGCTTATTTTAACATAATAACAAGGTGTTATCTTTGATAGGTCAGATTTTGGCTGTTTTAGCAAGGGCAGATCCGCCTTTTTGGGTGAGGGTGGTATGGCACCCGCTAGATTGGTAAAATTATTATATATTTATATAGAGATTTTCTTAAACTAGTTTATATTTGATCCTGCCACCCCTAATCGCAAACCAGACAAAGGTGCTATTGTTGGTAGACTTTTTTAAAAGTTTTTCTCGTATGTAAGATTCAAGTTCGAACTTATCTTGAACCTTGTTTGACTTTCCCTTTTTGTTGTGCTTTTTATTTTCTTTGTCCCAGACATTTTTTTTTGGCTACCTCCCAATTTTCTATTTTTCATTTATTACTCCCTCTATTCTATTATTTTATCTGTGATCTTTAGTAACAAAACTAAAAAAAGAGCCCCCAAAATTTAAAAATTCCATAAAATAAACATTTCTCTTTATCTTAAATCTTTTAGTTTTTTTCTTTCAAAACCAAAAATTTTGTTCTTGATAGGAATTTTGGATTGAGACCAAATTTAATTTTTATAGTTTTATTATAACATAAAAATTTGTGTTATTCAATGATTGTTAAATACAATTTAAATCTCTTTATTATTAAACCATGGTAAATATTTCGCAAGCATTGCCTAGAAAAATATGAGATTTATGATTTTAATTTTTGGAAAAAAATGGGGTATAATTTATCTATTGAAGATATATTTTTTTTTATTTTTCTTATTTTGATTGGTGGAAACCTTATTGAAGATGTTAGTTTACTTGTGTAAATTTATTTTTAGCAAAAAACAAATGTTGTTCCCAAGTGAAAATATTGATTTTACTTGTATTATTAATAATAAATGTGTAACTTCTTCTTTAAAATACTAATTATATTTGCTTCTTGATGTCTGAGATGTAATTTTCATATAACAACAATAACAACTTCTCCGGTGAAATCCCACAAATAGGGTCTGGGAAAGAGATGTAATTTTCATATTTACAAATAAAAATGCCTATTGGATCGCCTGAATAAGCTAAAAAAACAAATCAAACAGATGTTCTAAACAAACTCTATATTAGTTATTACAAAGTGTACGTTAAAGCAAATTATAGCACCCTCCACCTTCAAATCCAATATCCACCTGTGGTTCTAATCTTTCACTTCTAGAGGGCCACTATCGCTATGATCAGTGGCGAAGCAACCTTTGTCCAAGAGATGTCAATTTAATACCCTTTTACCGGAAAATTCATTGTAGCTAGGTAAAATTATATATATATATATATATATATATATATATATATATATATATATATATATATATATATATACCATGTTTAGGAGAGAGTTTCTATTTCTGCTCAATAAATGAGATTCTATTAGATATGAATTTTCAGAATAAAACTAAAACATGCGATTACAAGCATATAACAATAATCAAAACCTAATGATTTAATTACATACTTCTTTTTCTCCATTAATTCACTCATTTTTCCAAAGATTTAGTATAAGTTGGCTTTTGGCAAAGGATTAAACAAAAATAAAAGCTCTAAATATTAAAAAACCAGTTCTATAACAGAAAATAATTTCCCAAGAGAAGGTTCATATTAAATTCAATTTGGAGCATACAAAACCTTCAAGCGAATCATTTCTTCTGATTCCTTTTCAGATTCAATTTTTATATATCACGATTCATGAATTTCTCTTGGTTAAAAAATATAAAATGAAAGCTAAAATACTTTTTTTCCATTCTTTTTCGTCGGAATTGGTTTTAAACTTAGCGCACGTGAAAAGAAAGCAAAAAAAAGGAAGAGAAAATCAAAGGACAAAGATCACTTTTAGTACGCATCCAGTAACCGTAAAAGCATATAAAAATTATATATTTTTTTGTATAACACACACAAAAAAAACATATACCTATTTTTCGGCTCTTATGTTGAGAGCGGCTACACAATATCATTCCCCAAAATCAAATACTTAGCGCAATTGAAAAGAAGGCAAAAGAACAAAGAGAAAATCAAATGGCAAAAATCAATTTTAGCACGCGGCCGGAAATATATATATATATATGTATGTATATATATATATATATATTTCCTCGCATCATGCCGTCGTTTCATTGAAAGATGATTCGACGTCGTGATGCAAAGACTGACTGGTTCTACTTTATCTCTCATGATTTTGGATATTGCGGGTAGTCCACTAATATCGTAAAACAAGTGTGGCTACCTTTGAGTCGATCTTTGAGAGAAGTAGCTCCTACTACGATGTTCAGTCTATTTATAGTGAATTAACTACACTTTTTCATCACCTACAAAAGACATATCTCCTATGGATCTCGGAGATCCCTCTTTCTCGAGGTATATTATTTTAAAAACGGTTATACAATTTCATTTTCCCAAAAATAAATGCTTACCTCAAACATTTGCTCGTTATAAACACCAGGGGAAGACTGTAAGGGTCTAAAACCGCCATCAGTAAAAGCCCAAGTTCTAGCAACATTCATACCATATTTAGAAGCTTGTTGAAATGTTGTTGTAACTTTATTCCTTGTTGATGGATCAGAAGCCATATACATTAGCCAATAAGAATTAAAACCATTCATATATAATGGTTTTCCTTGTTGTGCAAAATGAGTTCCATCTGTATAAACATAACTAGGGTTTGAAAAAGCTTTAATTGGTTTGTGAAATTTATCTAAAAATAATGTCAAAATTATAGCTATAAAAATGGAGATGAATGAGTTATTCATCAACATTTTTTAAAATAATTTGAAGGAATAAATAATAGAGGGAAAAGGAAGAAAATGGTTTATGCTTGGTATACTACTGATTTCTTGATGTGTTTATATAGATGAGAAAACAAAACAATTTAAATTTTTTAATTAGTAGTGATAAGGAATCTAACTCAGCAATTATTCAAATGCAGATATGATTTATCTACATAATGTGAGATTGTTAGAATCAGGCACTTGCTATTATATAGTTGACAGAGTCATAATTAATGAACAACAAATTACTAGAATAATATTTAATTAGTACTATTATTAATTTAATTTGACCAATTTTATGAGTCACTGTAAAGATGTCTGTTTTTCAACTTGCATAAAAATTGTTTTAACATAATAACAAAGTGTTATCTTTGATAGGTCAGA